GATCCACTAGAGTAATCACAGTACACTCATCTATTTCTTTTACCTGGCCTTCTGGGTGACCAATTAAATAAAGTGAACCACCTGATGGCAAAGAGGAAATGTGTTTAAATAGGCCTGGAGGGAATCCATTTCCATTTGCTCTTAGTTTTAAAATGGCATAATCCAGACCTTTATCAGACACTTCAAACCATGGCTCAATGTGAAACCATTCTTCAGGAACAGGGTGGAACTTTTTATAAGTGAAAGTTACCTTTGCACATTTGCCTATTTTATCTGGCCACAAACTTGGATCTGTGTCTTCTCCCACCATCATGTGTACAACATGTAGAGAGGTGAAAATGTAACCATCATTGAAGACAAAGCAAGTAGCATTGCCTGGCTTGTCTGTGTTTCCACTATTGTCCCAAGAGATGAAACCAACTGACTCACTACGTTGGGTACGCAGCTCATAGGTTGCAACTGTAGTAGAATTTTTAGTCGCTTTTGCGAAGCGCTTTTCATACATGTCGAATTGTTGAGCTGGTGACAGTTTGTTTCTCCTCTGTTCTTTCTGAAAAAACTTTTTCATATGAAGTGCATATTTACTAAAATTTGGGTATTGCTGAATTATCACTGTAGTCAACATTTGGCAATTCTTTAGCCAGGGATCAGTTGTCTTCTCCTGGATATCCCACTTAATAACAGATTGCATACCCAGACGTGGCCTTTGCCAACCAAGTGAGATTTGTTTCATGTATTTTCTTTTGTGATTTTTCCGATAATAATTTTTAAATTCGGAAATTGTCCGGCGTCTTTTATTTTCAATGTCATGTCCTAGACTTCGAGGTGGGAAAACTTTTTTTCGGCTGTATTCTACATCTTCAGTCTCTCCATCTGTCTCTGGTTTGAGAACCTGGACCTGAGATGGCATCTGATTCTGGGGACTGATTTCACCAGTGGCACTTTCATTCTTCTGCTCAATTTCCTTATGGGTACGTTTCTTGTCAGATGGCTTCTTAGGAATTTCCATTTCTAAGGTTTTCCCAGATACGTCCTCCACTCTGGACTGTTTTTCATAAACCTTCTTATGATTTTCTATGAGTTTCCACTTTAATTGGTCCAGGTCAGGCCGAAATCGACCATCCTTACACAGGGCTTCTTGGATAGTCTCACCCTTCAAGGCATAGACACAAAGTGTACTTGCCTTTTCATGAAATTCCCTGCTCTTAACAATAGTCTTAGTTTCCTTCCCAATAGCCAGAACATGAAAAAGAATGCATTCGAGGTCGTTGGGATTTTCATATGGGCGTAATAGCTGATCATTTTCCCCAGTGGAAGAAGTATCATTTTCTTTCTTGTTCACCTTTCTCTTACTAAAATATACTTTTAAATGAGAACCTGTAGGGAGGCACTTGAGAGGCATTCCTAAATTTACACATCCTCTTATTGTTTTCTCTTCATAAGCATTAATGTTCTTATTAAAATGCTTCTCCATCCTTACACAGAAATTTTCATTAGCTGTCAGAGCTGAGTAGATACTCTCATTGAGTTTGCCAGATGCTGCATTTTCACTATGGTCTAATTTTCCGGATCTTTCAGCCCAACTAAAAGTGAAATTACGTCTTTCACTGACTCTACCATTTGGGTTCTGAGTTTTAAGAGATGTTTCATGCCCACTGACTTCGCATTTAAGTGCAATGGTGCTGCTGCATCCTCTGTTGTCAGATGGAGAGTGATCATCAGGTGAGCGAGCACACGTCTGCTCCATGCCAGTACCCTTAAGAAAGAAAAGATGAAACTTTCTATCAGGGTCACCCTAAAGAATAGTGTTTCATGTCCTTATAATTGGAAAAGTAATCGATAATATGATGGATAGTGAAGAGTGGAGAAAAATGTCCATCACTAGTCCATTGCCATAGATAAACATTGTGTATTTTGTATTCTCCCCTAAGATTTAATATAAATCTTATGTTACTTAAATGATATTATTCTGTCTAAGAGTTGATTTTTCATTAAGCCATCCACCAGTGCTTTCACTTCTGTAGAAAACTTTTGAAAACACAATATAATATTTTTGTGTACAATAATTTTTAATCCATTCCTCTTTGCTATATATATATTTAGAATGTTTTCAATGTTTCACTACTCTGATATGATAAACAGTTCTACACTTAAAACATTTCTGCCTGCCCATCTGATTATTTCCCCAGGCCAGATTCCTGGCAGTGGAAACACTGAGACTAAGCTTATAAATGTATTTCACAACAACTCCACTGCCAAACTGCTTTCCAGAAAAATCTCATCAACTCACGCCCATTGTCCAACGAGATTAGTGTGTGGTTTAATAATAATAATTTCAGTATTATCATTTTAAATGTTTGGCAATTTGTAGATGAAATGTCATCTAATTTGACTGTTTTTAACCCCTAGAGTGCCAGGAAG